ATGAATAACAAAGAAAAAGGTCACATGACTAAAAAAAAAAACAATCAAAGAAATCATGAACTGTTTTTTTTTCCTATTTTATCTTTTTTTTATCAACCCAGGAAAAAGGAAAATGTAAGGTTAGAAAACGACACCAGGAGGCCCGGTCACAGACCAGGCCACGGGGGCATTGACCCCGGAAATTCTCCCCTAACTCCAGGGTTTAAAAAGAGACACTTGTGCCTTTTTTAAACCTTTTCTGAGGAAACATTCACCCCGTATGGGTTCTTCGTCAATTCCAGGCTGAGGACTAATTTCTCAAACTCCTCATCTTCCACTGTCTTCTCCGTACGGACTGAAAAGCCCCTGGCTGGGGGCAACTCCATTGCACCCCTTTGGGCCATAAGTATCAAAGCACAGTACAGATATTAAAAATTTTTAATGCCCAGAATGAAATAATTAAATTTTTTAAAAAAACACGCTCCTTTCAGTACGGATTACGGGTGAAAGGGGTTAACTAAAGCTAATGTAAATACATAAGGGCAAAAAAATAAAACTCCAAACATTAAACTCTAATTTATACCTTAGGGCCTCCCCTTTTTCTTTTTTTCTTTCATGTAGGAATCGCCATTAACCGATTGAACCGAGTGTAAAAAGGGTCGTAATTATCGTGATAAGTTATATCTTGCTCTTCTTAAATTGGCAAAGGTGGATGTTTTACTTCCCCTAAACGCCTCACCCCTCACACCCTATGACAGTGAAAGGAAAAAACCCCTTGAGGCCAAAAAAAAACTGTTTTCAAAAAAGGGATCAGGGGTATTTTTTAATCACATTTAGGTGAAAACAATTAAAATACTAAATTACTTTACTTTTTTTTTCATAGTTAAAATTTTATTCTTACAAGTTCCAAACAAAAGTGAAACACCAACACTAAAGTGAAAACCATGAACTAAAATTTAACACTTTATGATTTTCACAATATAAATTTTTAAAACTCCCAATTAAAAAGTGTAACTCATATCTAAATTTTTGGACTTCAATTGTATAATTTACTAAATAGTTTAAAAAGAAGGGGAAGGTTTATAAACTAAAAAAGGAGGCATTAGGGTAAGATTAAACAGCTATTGGGGTAGATGGGCTAATGAAGCAAAGGAATGGGGTCGAAGAGGTATGGGGTGGTTTAAAAATGTAGTTTGGGTGTTCAGCAAAGTTTGTGGTACAGGAAAAAGGGGGTGCAGGAGGAAGGGAGCGAATGGTGGAAAGATGTGTAAAGAGAGTAGAAGGGAGAAAAAAATTAGCATATGAGAAGTTTTTTCAAAAAAAAGTGATGCAAGGGGGGGAAGAGTATAGGAAAAAAGAGAAGGTTAAGAGGTGGGGAAGCAAGTAAAAAGAGAGCAAATGGGGTGGGTGAGAGTTATCAACAAATTTTGTTGAAATAAAGAAAAAGTTTGGAGTAGATTAAAAAGTTAAAAAAAGCCTAGAGAACAAATGGATTTTTAAATTAAAAATGGGGAGGGAGTTATTAAAAGGGGGTTGGGTATTGAAGATGGAGGGGGAAAATTTTGAGGAAATTTTTAAATGTTTATGAAGAAAAGGGAAACTGTGATTTCGGTATAGGGCAAGGAGGAATCTCTTGTAGGAGTGAGGAAGAGCGTTGGAGTGTGGGGAAGTTTCGTGAGGGATAGGGAAAATGAAAGGGGGGAAGGGGACCAGGATTGATGGGATAAAGATAGAAAAGTTTTAAAAACAGGTGGGGGAAAAGTTTTGGAAAATGGTTGGTGCAATTATTTAAAAAAATTTGGGAAAAGGGTAAGGTACCTAGGGTTGGCGAGGCATGCATAGTTCCTTTGTATAAAGGGGAAAAGGGGGCAAAAGAGGTCAAAAATTATAGGGGGATAAGTTTTTTGAGTGTACCCGGTAAAATGTATGGTAAATTATTATGAAAAATTAAAGTAAAACGGAGAATAGGAAAAGATAAAAGGAGGCTTTAGGAAAGGTAGGGGGTGTTGGGCCAAATGTTTACAGTGGAAAAACATAAATGAAAAGTATTTAGTAAGGCTAAAAAAGGGCTTTGTGGCATTTTTGGTTTGGAAAAGGTGTATGGGCAGGGTGGATAGGGGGGCAAAGTGGGAGATGGCAGGTGTATGGTGTAGGGGAGGGTTTTGAAAACAGTGAGAGTTTTTACGAGGTAGTGAGGGTCAAGTTAGATTGTAGGAAAGGGGAATGGAAATATAAACACATATGCAGTATATGTACCTTTTTGGGTACGTTTCGCCCCCAAGTGGGCTTTTCCAAGTCACAAAAAGAACTACCCGGGGGGGGAAGAACGCGAGTATTTTAGTAGTTCGAAAGCTGGGTCGGTGGGAATGCTGCATCGAATGACCGAGTGGGGTTATAGAGCTAAAACTTTGGGTAGTTGGAAAAGGGGATTGGGTAAATTTGTGACAGACCTTTTAAGTGTTTTTATGGGATAGCGATAAGAAATTTCTTGGCAAGTGGTTCAGCTATGTTTAAAAAGCCACTATTCGGTTGAAGTTGTCGGGTATAGAAATAATGGATTCCCCGGGTTCTTCGGTATTGAGTGTTGTCTTCTGTGGCGATAAGTTTGAGTTTCTGTAGTTTATCAAGTGGTTGTGTGAATTACGGTGTTGTACGCAGGCATTCCTTGTGTCGTCAGACCTGCTTGCGTATTGGTGTTCTGAAATACGTGTTTGGAGGTCCCTTGATGTTTCGCCCACATATAACTTGTTGCAGTCATTACAAGGGATTATGTATACCCCTGCAGAGGGTGGAAGCTTGTCCTGTCTATCACTGGTAATGTCCTTGATGGTCATGGTTGTGGAGGTAGATACTTGAAATGAGGTATTGGAAAAGATGTTGGAAACATGTTTGGCAATGGAGTTGGTGGGGAGGACTATGTATCTCTTCTCGGCAGTGTCTTCTCTGGGTGTGTTGAAGATGTTTAATGCGAGGGTCTTGGCAAGAGGCGTGGAGTTAAAAGATAAAGAATCACACATAAAGTGGGAGTTGTCACAGTTGCTCTTTGCTGATGACACTGTGCTCTTTGGAGATTCTGAAGAGAAGTTGCAGAGATTGGTGGATGAATTTGGTAGGGTATGCAAAAGAAGAAAATTAAAAGTGAATACAGGAAAGAGTAAGGTTATGAGGATAACAAAAAGATTAGGTGATGAAAGATTGGATATCAGATTGGAGGGAGAGGGTATGGAGGAGGTGAATGTATTCAGATATTTGGGAGTGGACGTGTTAGCGGATGGGTCTATGAAAGATGAGGTGAATCATAGAATTGATGAGGGGAAAAGGGTGAGTGGTGCACTTAGGAGTCTGTGGAGACAAAGTACTTTGTCCTTGGAGGCAAAGAGGGGAATGTATGAGAGTATAGTTTTACCAATGCTCTTATATGGGTGTGAAGCATGGGTGATGAATGTTGCAGCGAGGAGAAGGCTGGAGGCAGTGGAGATGTCATGTCTGAGGGCAATGTGTGGTGTGAATATAATGCAGAGAATTCGTAGTTTGGAAGTTAGGAGGAGGTGCGGGATTACCAAAACTGTTGTCCAGAGGGCTAAGGAAGGGTTGTTGAGGTGGTTCGGACATGTAGAGAGAATGGAGCGAAACAGAATGACTTCAAGAGTGTATCAGTCTGTAGTGGAAGGAAGGCGGGGTAGGGGTCGGCCTAGGAAAGGTTGGAGGGAGGGGGTAAAGGAGGTTTTGTGTGCGAGGGGCTTGGACTTCCAGCAGGCATGCGTGAGCGTGTTTGATAAGAGTGAATGGAGACAAATGGTTTTTAATACTTGACGTGCTGTTGGAGTGTGAGCAAAGTAACATTTATGAAGGGGTTCAGGGAAACCGGCAGGCCGGACTTGAGTCCTGGAGATGGGAAGTACAGTGCCTGCACTCTGAAGGAGGGGTGTTAATGTTGCAGTTTAAAAACTATAGTGTAAAGCACCCTTCTGGCAAGACAGTGATGGAGTGAATGATGGTGAAAGTTTTTCTTTTTCGGGCCACCCTGCCTTGGTGGGAATCGGCCAGTGTGATAATAAAAAATAAATAATAGTTTAAAGTCCTAGCATACATTACATTAGATCAAGTCTGCCCAAAATGCAGTGCATAATAATGATCTTCTCTTTAAAGGGTACAAGTATTCTCTTAGCACATCCCTGTAACACTTAAGATACCTTTTTGAAAAATGAAATATAATTCTAACCATAATTCTTAATTTCCTAGGTAGTAGGTTGGTAGACAGCAACCGCCCAGGGAGGTACTACCGACCTGCCAAGTGAGTGTAAAACGAAAGCCTGTAATTGTTTTACATGATGGTAGGATTGCTGGTGTCCTTTTTTTCTGTCTCACTAACATGCAAGATTTCAGGTACGTCTTGTTACTTCTATTTACACTTAGGTCACACTACACATACATGTACAAGCATATATATACACACCCCTCTGAGTTTTCTTCTATTTTCTTTCTAGTTCTTATTCTTGTTTATTTCCTCTTACCTCCATGGGGAAGTGGAACAGAATTCTTCCTCCGTAAGCCATGCGTGTTGTAGGAGGCGACTAAAATGCCGGGAGCAAGGGGCTAGTAACCTCTTCTCCTGTATATATTACTAAATGTAAAAGGAGAAACTTTCGTTTTTCCTTTTGGGCCACCCCGCCTGGGTGGGATACGGCCGGTGTGTTGAAAGAAAGAATTCTTAATTTATTAATGGGGGAACACTAAACTTGTAGGGATTATACAGTGCCTAGGGAAATGGGAGGCAATCAAGTTTTATGCAAGGAACAGGGTAGGTTTAATTCCTTGGATCAAGATCCTCTCACCAGCATCAAGACATGTCCTTTTCAGAGAATTATAATAATTACTGTTACCCCTTACAATACCAATTATTATTTATTATTAAAATTCAATCAAGATGTCACCTATTATGCACTTCAACATATTCTAAATGCATTCCCAATTATATATATATTACATAAGCATTATGTCTAAACTATTGTTCTACTTACCCCTGGTACACTTTCCTTTTCCTGATGAGGTTCTGGCAGTTGCTGCTCAAGACAGTCTGGGGTAGGGAGCGAGGCATCATCATTGGCTTGATCACTCTGGGATTTCTCTCCATGCGCTACATCTGCCGACTGCTCTGGCGTTAGTGAAGCACTTATTCTTCTGTCTTCAGCACGTCGTCTCTTTGGTGGGGGACTCTTGCAATCTCCAGAGTGCTGCTCTGCTGAACGATGCCTACTTCCAGAATTAGAATTTCCTCCATCAGAAACCTTGTGATTTGGTTCTTCATCTGGTACTGCCAATCCTTTAATTTTAAGACATTCTGCTGCCTTAATGAGCGATGACAGTTCACTCTGTCTGACATTGACTTCACCAATGTACATATAGTCCAACAAGAACTCAAGATCTTGACACTGAATGTCTTTTAAAACAACTACTGGGTTTTTACATGGAGTACGGTCAAATATGTCACTAAAATATTCACTACATGTGGACAAAACTAACTTATGGACGGGATAAAACTTGCCCTCGCATGCCAATGTCACATCAGTGTAGTTGCCCTGGAAGTATAAAGGCCACTGTTAAAAAATACTATACAACTTAACAATTTGTCCTCATACTGAATATTCAAAGCAGAATGCCATATACAGAAAACGTGAATAACAACAATAAATATATCTTATTTAATTAAAATGGCCAAATCATATACAATAAATACAGTAATGAAGTCAATATGAAAAATTCAACAATATACACAAGTACAGTATTACAATATTAATATGACTAATGGCTAATACATATACAAATCTTCACAATAATAAAAGAATACTGACTGATTCCTTTTACTGACAAGTGTTCATAGCACTGTGATGCTCCACTATATTATCCATGTAGTATAATGCTGTATATCTGAGTTATCAAACAATATAATAATACCTGTATTAGTGTAAGAATATTAGCCCCTTGACTGTCGCAACCCCCAATCCTGAGGTGTCTCCTGGTGACGCAAAATTTCAAAAAAAAAACAATTATTTTTTCTTATGAAATGATAGAGAATCTTTTCCCGATTATAATGACACCAAAAAAACGAAATTTGAAAACTGACGGAATTACGCTCTCGCGAAGTTAGCGACCTCAGAGATATTTCGCCCACTTTGAGCCCTATTTTCGGCTAATTCCATTGTTTCAGTCGACCAAACTCATAGCTATTTCTTGAGTACAAGAAACTGCCCATTTACCAATTTCAACTACCCAATAACGTGATCAGAAACTTGCAATTTGGCCAATTTCACGAAAATTAAAAAATATGACAATTTCAAAATAAGGTCCAGAATGAACAATGCAGACATTCCTGGCTCTAAAATAACATTTTCGTTGTTCATCAGTCATGTCTCCAGGCCCCTCTGATATTACTCTTGCTTTCTATTTTGAATTTTTATTCAAACAAAAAATAGAAGACTTACTATTATGCAGACTACTGCAATACTGTAATAATTGTATAAATAACATCAACCCATTCATGACTGCATATTAGAATGGCTAGTTGGATATTTATTGGACAATGACATCATTTGTTTACTTTTGAACATTGGCAAAAATCAAACATTTCCCCTACTTTGAGCTCTATTTCCAGGTTTTTTTTTATAGTAAAATCAATCAAAATCACCTCTATTTCTATAATATATTTTCCATTCTATCAAATGAAACCAAGAAAACGAGAATACAACCATAAATACTATACGAGAATAGATCACAAAGTCGGCATTTTAATTAAAAAAAAATGGTCGGAGTTTTTTTTTTCTCATTATGCACTGCGTGCTCCAGGATTTTTTTTATATGGTGCACACTGACCACACAGACCCATTCTCTCACATGTGGGCCTACCAGCTTTCTCCTTCTTGATTTGAAGCCGCTAGAATTTATGAGTATATATACGTCAAACACGGTACCTCATAAGACATATATATACGGCCGCAACAGTCAAAGGGTTAATGAATTATGAAGACTATGTATTTTTTTATACTTTACCATTGATTTGCCATTGATTTGTTATTTCTGTACTTTAATACAGTAAAACCTCATACAAAATGACACCACATAGTGCAACTGTGTAAACTCTATTGAAAAAAAACATCCAAAACTGAAGTGTATAAAAAATCCTTGAAAATATTTCACCCAGGCAGTGGGCCTTGTAGTCACAAGCTGATCGAGGTGAATGGGTAACAAAAAGGCCCAGGGCTGTACTACAATTCTGTACATATTGAAAGAGTACAGTTAATTGTTAGTTTAGGAAAACTAATACATACTATAATGACAATATTTCAATGGTGTTAAAAGTTTTTTCAAGTCAGTGGTCTTAACTGACATTTTTTTTAAACACATTGGGAGTCTCGTACCATGGTAGGGTGGCTTGAAAAAGATAATCATTACCAAAGCACACTGATATCACAGTTCAGATGACTCTACAACCATAACATTCTCCTTCAGAGTGCAGGCACTGTACTTCCCACTCCCAGAACATAAAGTCAACTAACACCTATATACAATACTGTCCTTCATACAATTTTCTTTACTGGCTTGGAAAACCTGCAACATACAAAATACATATACTCTCTCTCCTCACTTAATGACGGAGTTCCATTCATGAGAGTAGGTCGGTAAGCGAATACGTTGTTAAGTGAGGAGCATATTATACTAGTAGTGAGTTTGTGTCAACCATCTTTAGACACTGTTTTAATACCACCTTTGCACCATTTATAACATTTTTAGTACATTTTTAAATGTTTATACAGTAGTGTACTTTATACTGTAATAAACATAATAGAGGAAATCAACTTTGAATATGCATTACTTAGCTATGCACACTGGTCAGAGAGCTGGTCGTAAGTCCAAGTAGTCGTTAAATGAGGAGAGACGGTATGTTGATGTCGCTTAATACACTGATACACCGCACTTCAACATCGAGTAATTGAAAAAAGTATATTGAAGTACATATTGCACAAAAATACATACAGATACAACACTTCAGTATCAAGGGATAAAGAATGCCATAAATACATAATAGTTAATATTAATAATATAAAACATGCAGGCATGCGTGAGCGTGTTTGATAGGAGTGAATGGAGACAAATGGTTTTTAATACTTGACGTGCTGTTGGAGTGTAAGCAAAGTAACATTTATGAAGGGATTCAGGGAAACCGGCAGGCCGGACTTGAGTCCTGGAGATGGGAAGTACAGTGCCTGCACTCTGAAGGAGGGGTTGCAGTTTAAAAACTGTAGTGTAAAGCACCCTTCTGGCAAGACAGCGATGGAGTGAATGATGGTGAAAGTTTTTCTTTTTCGGGCCACCCTACCTTGGTGGGAATCAGCCAGTGTGTTAATAATAATAATAATAATAATAATAATAATAATAATAATAATAATAATAATAGTAGTAATAATAATAAAAATAAATTATTACAACTTTGTTGGATAGTTCATCGCCTGGATAACTTGATGTTGATGACCTGTGTATGTAGTGGTTTTTTCCATATGTAGAAGGTACAACCAAGACAAATTAAGATATACGAGATAAAACACCCACCTTAGTTCGGAGCCCACAGATGATGTGATAAAATATACTCTGGTGATTGTTCCATTTGAGGGCTAATACTTCTGCTTCCATCATGACTGAAAAGAAAGAACCTAGAACTTAGGGTAATGATATGCATATTATATACACTATACTGTAGTTTACTGGATGTCTATATTCAGTTGGCAGCTGGGTAATAAACAGTTTGAAGGCTCTTTACATGGCAATTAGGTAGTGGCCAGTTTATAGGTTACATATTATATTCATGGAAGAGCACTAAACCAGCAGGGGCCATACAGTGCCTGGAGGAATAGAAGGCAATCAGGTTTGATACAAGAAAGGTCAGGATTAAGATCCCCCTCACTGAGATACAGATTACAGTAACCTATAAAAACATTTAACCAGAAATAAGCACACTGAAAACTAGATGCATTTCGGTCGCTGCACGATCCATGAAAGATATTCCCGTATTCCATAACCCATCCTGTGCCTCAATGCATGCAACGAACAGTATACAGAATGCAACAAAATTTGATAATGCAGTTAAATATTAGTACCGAAGATATGAAGGGGATCAGAAGTAGTATTCACAAATCATATGGAAACAAATATCCAAATTTCTTCAATAAAAATGGTATATTAGAATACAGACCAAACCTAATTAAAATCTTTCTGAGGGAGCAGAGAGAGCAATATCCTAAAATAAACAAGCACATTAACCATGTAGCCACTCAGATGTTGCACTCAGATGTTGCACTCAGATGTTGCACTATCAAGCAATAACTGTGGATAGGTTGAAGCTCATCAGATGAAACTTTCAGAAATCATTGCATGAAAAGCAATATTTCAATATTTTTAATTCCTTAACCCTTTCAGGGTTATCAAGGTACAGGAAGGCCCCACTTATACGGCGGGTTAGGTTCCAGGCTACCGCCGTAAAGCGGAAACCGCTGTAAAGTGGAACACCCTTTTTTTCCACTTACAAATGCATACAAACACTAGATAACAAGTTTACACTAACATATATTATGTTAGCAATAGAACCAGGCATCAAAAAACAATAAAAAAGTACAATACACACATAGTGCACTCATTACTTACCTTAAAATATTTATAGTCTTAATCTAGGGTGAGACAAGTAGTATTTATTGTAAGAAATCAAGTGTGGTATGTATTGTAATAGCACGGCTTACACACCAAGGTTATTGATGTACCTGGAGTTTACCTGGAGAGAGTTTCGGGGGTCAACGCCCCCGCGGCCCGGTCTGTGACCAGGCCTCCTGGTGGATCAGCCCCTGATCAACCAGGCTGTTGCTGCTGGCTGCACGCAAACCAACATACGAGCCACAGCCCGGCTGATCAGGAACTGACTTTACTAGTACGCCTAAATTCTAGCACCTTCAAATCTAGCGAGAGAAAGCTGGTAGGCCTACATATGAAAGAATGGGTCTATGTGGTTAGTGTGCACAGTATAAAAAAAAATCCTGCAGCACACGGTGCGTAATGAGAAAAAAAAAACTTTGACCGTGTTTTTGGTTTAAAACAGCGACTTTGCACTGTATTTTCTTATGGTATTTATGGTAGTATTCTAGTTTTCTTTGTCTCATTTTATAGAATGGAAGACATATTACAGAAATTGAGATGATTTTGACTCGTTTTACAATGAAAAGTACCTTGAAATTGAGCTCAAAGTAGCAGAAATGTTCGATTTTTGCCAAAGTTCAAATGTAAACAAATCATGCCATGCGTCCAATACACATCAACTGGTGAGTCTAATATTCTTTCACAAGTGTGCTGATATTATTTATACCATTTCTACGCTAATGCAGTAGTCTGCATAACTATAAATCTTCTATTTTTTGTGAGAATAAAAATTCAAGTGGAAAGCAAATGTAAGAGGGGCCTTGGGATGTGACTAATGAACAGAGGAAATGTTATTTTAGTGCCAGGAATGTCTTTCTTGTTTATTCTGGACCCTATTTGGAAATTGGCATCTTCTGAAATTTGTGTGAAATTGGCAAAATTGCTAATTTCTGACCACTATATTGGACAGTTGAAATCGGTAAATGGGTGGTTTCTTGCACTCATTCAATAGAAAAAAATGGAGTTCTAGCGAAATAGTTATGATTTTTGTTGACTAGTAGACTGGAATTGGCCGAAAATAGGGCTCAAAGTAGGTGAAATCGCCGATGCGTAAACATCGTCAAGACCACTAACTTCACAAGAGCATAATTCTGTAAGTTTTCCATCAAATTTCATACTTTTGGTGTCATTATGATCAGGAAAAGATTATCTATCTTTTCATAAGAAAAAATAATTTTTTTTTTTCTGAAAAATTTTCAACCCTGAGAACAAGTTTAGGAGAGGGCCTCTTGACTCTGAAAGGGTTAAAAAAATGCAAATTAGAAACTACACAGGCCAAAATCAATCAAAACTTTTTTTTATGTAAGAATGACTTGCTTTCAAGTACAATTAAGTTTTCATGTAAGCTCAGTGTACATAACATACAAATTTTTAACAATGGTTTAGAGCTCACATATGTTATAAACACCTAAAAGAACAAAGTTGATCAAGTTATATTCTCTAATTTGTTCCTACACAGCCTAAACCCACAAAATGTTCCATCCATTTCATACAATGCATCAGCCATTGAAGATTGAGGCTTCACAACTGTTATATGCATTTTAATCAGAGGAAGGTGCTAAACCTGTAGGGGTCAGATAGTACCTGTGGAATGGGAGGCATTCAAGTGTAATCCTTGGATCCAGAACTCCTCACCAGCATCAAGGCAAAATAATGCAATGATAAAATTATACCACACCATTTCAAGATTAAAAGTAGCAAAATGGCATATATGCACTCCAATACATATACACGTCATTCTGAAGCCAATCAGAGGAACCTATATCACCCTATAACATGGAACTCAAATTTAGGAATGGTTTAACATTATAAGATAAGATAAGATAAGATAAGATTTCGTTCGGATTTTTAACCCCGGAGGGTTAGCCACCCAGGATAACCCAAGAAAGTCAGTGCGTCATCGAGGACTGTCTAACTTATTTCCATTGGGGTCCTTAATCTTGTCCCCCAGGATGCGACCCACACCAGTCGACTAACACCCGGGTACCTATTTGCTGCTAGGTGAACAGGACAACAGGTGTAAGGAAACGTGTCGAAATGTTTCCACCCGCCGGGAATCGAACCCGGGCCCTCCGTGTGTGAAGCGGGAGCTTTAGCCACCAGGCCACCGGGCCACCCCTACCAGGCCACCGGGCCACCCATAGGGTACCCTCACTTGCAAATCCCATAAATCTTACCAAGATACATTACACAAGCACTGAAAATTTGAATACAACTGAATGAGGCATTTGAGTAATAAAAAAATATTTGAAAAAAAAAAAAAATCAAACAAAAATATTGCTGAGAATGTTCTGCAAAATAGGAATCTCCCCTTAATAAACTTAAAATACAGTGAAACCACGGATTTTTTCCAGTTTACTTTCTTGTTTATAATTTAAAATTCTCTATGATCCTGTAAGAAAAATAATGGATTTTTGTTTTTAAATCCAATCTTACAAAATTGGCAACAAATAAATTTGCAGCCACTCAGCCCAAAATTAATACAAAATACAATGCTTCTTATTTTAAGACACAAGCCTACCAATGGTAAATGAGGCCAAGCAGAAAAAGGCTTCTGCTCAGAAAACCACACCAGTGGTGAAAATTTGTAGCCAATTCGTAAATCATTCTGCGATTATGGCAAGGGTTCCAATGATTCCAAGTTTTTTTTATTTTTTAATAAAATAAATTTGCTGGAATGCAAACAAAACTTATTAGGTACTATCCTGGCCCTAAGATGCTTCAGCCATTAATTAATGAAGCTGTTAAGAAGAGGTAAACTAAAAATTATTTAACATGATTTAATGGGAATAAAAATTTCACACTACATATACGGTCAAATCTGCACATACACATTCAAATTTCACTCTCCACTGGCATTTAATTTTTGACACCTTTTCTTTAAACATCTGAACCCATGTCACTTAGAGTTTTGTTAGCTATCTGAATCACTCCAGGTCATAGGGCACACGAGTGTCAAATGTTCCAAGAATTTTGTCATTACCATATGAGTAAAAATTTGAAGCTGGTCCCAAATTTGCAAACAGCAATCACTCCCCATGAAAGTAAAAGACTGGGCAGGCAGTGCAACATACCACCAGTGAGAAGTAGGGGCACCATTAGTACACTAAGAGAAAACACAATAAGTGTCTGGGGCACAAGATTATTCAACAGCCTCCCACCAGGCATATGGGGAATTACCAATAGACTCTTGGATGCCTTCAAGAGAGAGCTGGACAGATACCTAAACACAGTACCAGATCAGCCGGGCTGTGGTTTGTACATTGGACTCTGTGTGGCCAGCAGTAACAGCCTAATTGATCAGGCCCTGATCTACTGGGAGGCCTGGTCAAGTACTGGACCACAAGGGCAGTGACCTCTGGAGCACCCTCCAGGGAGCCGTCAGTTATGAGCAATATAAAATTGAATCGATGAAAGAAAAAAAAATTAGGTAATCTCCTTAAGGTATCCCTCCATGGAAACCTAATATGAACACAGTACATCTGGAAATGTGGTTCAACACCTGTTGACACTTGAGCAACTGGCTAGCAGTCAACTAAAATAATCCATTGCTACAAGTACAGTGGAACCTCAAATATCGAACTTTCTTCGGTCCAGAAGGCTGTTCGAGTGCCTTTACCGAATGAATTTATTCCCATCAGGAATAATGTAAATTAGATTAGTCCATTTCAGACCCTCAAAAATACACTTATAAAAGCACTTACAAAAATACACTTACATAATTGGTCGTGTTGGGAGCAGTTCGATTTTTGAGGTTCCACTGTACATGACATAACTGATACAGACCTAGCTAACATTGGCATAATAAATAGAAAGCCAGAGAATTTTGGAAAACCAAAGTTAGTCCTGTCCCACAGGATGCAACCCACATTTGGCCAACAACCAGGTACCTATTTAATGCTAGGTGAACCAGGGCAGCAAGTGTAAAGAAACATGTCCATACTATACCACTTCC